GAGAGGTAGAGGGAGACCTAAGAAGTATTGGGGAGAGGTGATCAGGCAGGATATGGCGCGACTTAGGGTTACTGAGGACATGGCCCTAAACAGGGAATTGTGGAGATCGAGCATTAAGGTTGTAGGTTAGGGGAAATTGTGATGTCTTTTTTACAGCGCACTAGAGTGAGGCTAGCCAGTTAGGAATTAGTCTTAGAATACTATTGATCAACTACTGATGATGGGCTTTATCTTCTGTGTATTAATACATTACATCTTTCTCGTATTTCTATATCTCTTATATTGCTGTTATTTTGTTTTTTATGGAATTTATGTTATGTTATGGATTTTACGGTATTTTATGTTGTTTTATTATGAGTCTATTGATAGTACTAATATAGTGTCTCTTGTTGCCTCTTTGAGCCGAGGGTCTCCTGGAAACAGCCTCTCTGCCCCTCGGGGTAGAGGTAAGGTCTGCGTACATATTACCCTCCCCAGACCCCACTTGTGGGATTACACGGGTTGTTGTTGTTGTTGTTGTTGTTGTTGATGCTGACGTGATGCTCCGGTGATGAGGTGTGAGCGGTTGACTTTGGTGGGTACGACAAGAGGTAGAGGATGGCCTAAAAGTATTGGGGAGAGGTGATCAGGCAGGACATGACACGATTGCAGATTTCCGAGGACATGGTCCTTGATAGGAAGGTCTGGAGGTCGAGCATTAGGGTTGTAGGCTAGGGTGGTAATCGAGCTTCTCCTTCTCCATTATGGGGCTGAAGCGAGTTTGAGTAGGTTAGTCTTAGACGGCGTGTGGTTAATGTAGAGTCCACACTACCCTTACTGTTTTCGATAGCTTTGGACCTTAGTTGTTGGTTATTGTTATTGCATGTCATCTATTTTATGATTTTTAGGATGTTGTCACTATTTCTATGGTTATGTTGACGATACTGATGAATTGTCTTTTCTTGTGTTATTTTCATCTTCCTAAGCCGAGGGTCTATTGGAAACAGCCTCTCTGCCCTATCGGGGTAGGGGTAAGGTCTGCGTACACACTACCCTCCCCAGACCCCACTTAGTGTGACTTTACTGGGTCGTCGTTGTTGTTGTTGTTGGATGTTGACGTGATCACCATCGCGACCTTCAGGTCAGGTGAGAAGCTTATTTTTGTGTTCATCGAGGGAGTGAATTATGGTGTTGGGATTGCGCTGGAGTATACGACATCCATTAGCCAAGGATTCCATTGACAGAACAAATTGCTGACAGGATCAGCAAGATCCTTGCAGTCCTTGATACCAACATCCTCTGGGGTAACCCTGTCTATAGCTTCTAGACGCACAAGTATACTGAAGTTAAGCCTCCACTCAACAACTTGGTTGCAGCTGCTAAGCTCCTCCGCGCACAGTTGGCCAGCACCAAGTGAGCTTGACTTACCTACACGACAATATCTGACATTTTGAAAGATGATGCTGT